GTGTCGAGCCTGTCGAGGTAGCTGTCGACTTTGGTGCTGCTAGGGGTGCCGTGTCTGGGGCTGCTGAGCCTGCGGGTGCGGGACCTGGGGGTGCTGAGCCTGAGCGTGCAGAGCCTGGGGGTGCTGAGATTGGGGGTGCTGAGCTTGAGCGTGCGGAGCCTGGGGGTCCTGAGCCTGGGGTTGCTGAGTCTGAGGGTGCGGAGCCTGGGGGTTTTGAGCCTGAGCGTGCGGAGCCTGGGGGTGCTGAGCCAGGGGGTGCTGAGCCGGAGCGTCCTGAGCCTGGAGGTACTTTGTCTGCTGGAGGTCCTACGGGTGTCTCGTCACAGCGGGAGCCTCTCTCTCCACCGCAGCTGCGCAAATGGTTTGCTCGGCACTGGAGCCTCCAGAGTGGAGCTGCTCGAGCTGGAGGCACTGGAGCTGCTGGAGCTGGTGGTGCTGCAGGCGTTGGAGCTGGAGCCGCTGGAGCTGGAGCTATTGGAGGTGCTGGAGCCGCTAATCCCGAAGGTGCTCGTACTGGGGGTACTGGAGCTGCTGGAGCTGAAGGTGCTGCTGGAGCCAGAGGTGCAGGAGCTGGAGCTGGAGGTGCTGCTGGAGCTGGAGGTGCTGCTGTAGCCAGTGGTACTGCAGAAGTTGGAGCAGGAGACCCTAGAGCTGGAGGTGCTGGCCCTGGGGGTGCTGGTGCTGTCGGTGCTGGTTCTGGAGGCGCTGTGCGGCCGCGACCGTACTTCGTTCCGCTGCTTCAGCAAGTTCTTGGTCTCCCGCCTTCTACTGGCCTTACCTCTCCTTTACTGTGTCCACCGCCTGACCAGTCCCAGCCACAGTTAGAGCCAGCCTCCCCACTGCCGGCTCTTCGCCTTACACTGAACAGCCCGGAGGTCGTACAGAGCGTCGTAAGCCTGCGTCTCATCCTGCGTTGCCTGTTCGCGCTAACCGCACTGGTCGTCGTGTTCCGCGTGAGCGTCCTCCTGTCAGAATGTATTTACTGTTTAGCCTGTAGTGGGGTACTCTGTAGTGAGTACAACCCAATTTAGGGTTTGCTATTTGTATCCCAACTTTCTATAGTGAAACCCCTCATTCTCCTTTCCAATTCTCTCGACACTCAATCCTCTCGACACTCAATCCTTAGCTCAACTCACTAGCCATGGCTCCTAAGTCTAGCTAGTATTCTAACATGGCATTAAGAGCATAAATTTCCTAGGACCTAATGTTAATGGGCCCACCACCTACTGCCCTGCTAGCCTAGGCCCTGGCCCGTCACCCCTAGGCGTCGCCCCTAGCCCCTAGGCTCGGCCCCTTGGCCCCGTCGCCTCGGCCCCTTGGCCCCGTCGACTCCGTTGAAAATGAAGTGAGTACAAATATGAAACCCTAATTGGTTGTACCCCCTATGGGATACCCCACTATAGCCTACACAACAGCATAAGCTATAATGTTCTGACACACCCCCATAGGCAAAGTGGGGGAGAACAAGGGGTCACAAGACCAGTCAAGCAAAGCAAAGCAAAGCAAGCTCAGGGTGGATCACAAAGTCACCACACAGTCCGAGCACAGGGTCAAGGCCACACGGCCAGTTCACATGCAAGAGTACACACACATATATATAAAGCTAGACAAGCAAGAGCAGGTATATATATATGTGAGAGTACAAGCAAGGTCAAGAGGAGAGCAAGTGAGGCAAGACGGGCACAAGACCCAGCTGAGTGCAGAAGCGCTGATGATCACAAGGCGGAAGTGCCTTGGTGAAGACATCAGCAGTGTTGGCCTGAGAGGCCACGTACGCAAGCCGCAACTGTCCACGTTGCTGTAGCTCACGAGCAAGGAAGTAGCGGAGAGCAATGTGCTTTGTTCTGTGCTCCAGTCGCTGCTCTCGACACAAGGCCAGCATGGCCTTGTTGTCTACGTACAGGACTGGAGGAGAACGAGGCGGCTCTCCAAGGTCGGTCAGCAGGTAGGTGAGCCAGCGAAGCTCCTGTGCAGCCATGGCCCCGGCGTAGATCTCAGCCTCACAACTCGAGCCAAGAACAGAAGACGAGCGAGTAGCCCGCCACGAAACAGAGCCGGAACCAGGGCTGAAGGTGTAACCCTGTGACGACCGCTGCGTAGCCTGGTCGTCAGCCCAAGAAGCGTCCGCGTGCCCAGTGAGGACCACTGGACTCCGCCCTCCAAGCACTAGCCCCATGCCCGACGTACTGCACAAGTAGCGCAACACCCTCTTCGCTGCAGCCATGTGCTCTGGTCTGTGTCTCCCAGGTGCAACATAGCGTGCAAGAATGCTAAGAGGGTATGCAAGGTCAGGTCGTGTGCAGGTCATCAGGTACATGAGGCAGCCAACAAGCTCTGGGTACGGGCCACTCGACTCTACGGACTCATCCGAAGGCAGAGCTGAGAGCGAGTGGCGAGTAGACAGAGGAGTGGCCTGAGGCGAGGAGTACGTGAAGCCGAAGCGCTGAAGGACCTGCTGCACCATGTGTGACTGAGTCAGGGTAATGGTGCGGCGTGCTCTGTCCCGGGTGATCTGCAAGCCAAGGTAGCTGCGCAGTTCACCCAGGTCTGTGCACGTGTGTCTCTTCTGCAGCTCGGACTTCCCTCCACCGCCGCCTCCTCCGCCACCTCCGCTACCACCGCCACCGCCGCCGCGGCCTCCGCCTCCACTGCCGCCACCGAACCCCCCACCCCCACCTCCACCTCCACCGCTACCCCCACTCCCCCCACTGCCTCCACCTCCACCTCCACCGCCCGCTCCTCCAGCTCCCTTGCCCCCCTTGCCCTTGCCAGGGCGGCGTCTCCCGCTAGGGGCAGACGCCGCACCGACCGACTCAAGACCAAGGAGGTCGGCCGAAGCAGCAGAGGCAACAGAGGGCAGCAGGGGGGAGGGAGAACACCCCTCAAAGATGGGGGTGCGCGGGTCACCTCGAGAGGCTCCTACAGCGACTATGCTCTTTTCTATCGCGAGGAGGGCCTTCTCGAGGAGGTCTACAGTGAGTGTGGTGGGACAGACTGAGAGAAAGTGGTCCCTGACTACTCGAAGGGAGTCAGGGAGGCGAGTGACTAGGAAGTACAGAGTGATGTACATGGGGGGGGGGTTCGCGGTGCAGAAGTCAGCAGGAAGTGCAGCGCGGTAGCGAGTGTCACTAGTGCGGAGGTGCGTAATGAGGTCAGCAACGGTGGGAAAAGAAGCAAGGTCAGGGAAGAGGTACGGCAGCATGAGACGGCTCAGTGCAGCAGTGGAAGGGGAGGAGTAGCGCGCGACTACAGCGGCGTACAAGGTCTGAGCACTCTTGTACTGACTAAAGTGCGCACGCTCGGAGGTAGGGAGGTGGCGACGCACAGCAAGACGTGCAGCAGCATCGCGCGTGGCCCACTGGGAGCGAACAGTGGCGTCAGCATCAGCAGCAGGGGCAGGGGAAGCGCCAGAGGTGAGGTCAAAGAGAGAGAGGCCGTCCGCCCTATCGCACTGTAAGAACAGCTGTAGGTCATCTACCCAGACCTCAAAGTCAATGGCCCGACCCTCAGCGTCAAAAGTGAGGACACTAGGGGTAGCCATGACAGCAGTAGACCAGCAGTGCAAGGAGTAGGGGAAGAGCACGCAGTGACAGAGGGTCTGTGCTCACCGGACAGGGCTGCTCGGGCGGCTCGGCTGCAGGGCGGCTCGGCCGCTGGGCGGCTCGGCGGCTGGGCGGCTCGGCGGCTGGGCGGCTCGGCAGCTGGGCGGCTCGGCGGCTGGGCGGTCGGCTGCATGGCGGCTCGGCTGGTGGGCGGCCGGGCGGCTCGGCTGCAGCGCGGCTCGGCGGCGGGGCGGCTCGGCTGCTCTGCTGCTGGGCGGCTCGGCTGCGCTGCTGTTGAGCGGCTCGGCTGGGCCGCTGACGTAGGGCGGCGGGGCCGCTGTAGAGGAGTGGCGGGGCCGCTGCAGAAGGACGGCGGGGGCCGCTGGGTAGTGAGGCGGCGGGGCCGCGAAGACGGGCGGCGGGGCCGCTGCAGAGAAGCGGCGGGGCCGCAGTGAAGGGCGGCGGGGCCGCAACGAGAGAGGCGGCGGGGCCACAGCGAGAGAAGCGGCGGGGCCGCGAAGTCGGGCGGCGGGGCCGCTGAGTAGGGCGGCGGGGCCGCAGTGAGAGGCGGCGGGGCCGCAGCGAGAGAGGCGGCGGGGCCGCGAAGACGGGCGGCGGGGCCGCTGAGACGGGTGGCGGGGCCGCAGTGAGTGGCGGCGGGGCTGCAGCGAGAGATGGCGGCGGGGCCGCGAAGACGGGCGGCGGGGCCGCAACGAGAGAGGCGGCGGGGCCGCAGAAAAGGGCGGCGACGGGCCGTAGGCGGCGCGAAGCCGCAGGTAAGGGCGGCGACGGGCCGGGGCGGCTCGAAGCCGCAGGTAGAGGCGGCGCGAAGCCGCGGGAAGGGCGGCGACGGGCCTGGGCGGCGCGAAGCCGCAGGTAGGGGCGGCACGAAGCCGCCGGTGAGGGCGGCGCAAAGCCGCGGGTAAGGGCGGCGACGGGCCGGGAAAAGGGCGGCGCGCCGCAGCCGCTAGGGCGGCTCGACTCGACCGTAAGGGCGGCGCGACGGGCCGCTAGGTGCGACTCGACGGGCCGCTAAAAAAAAGGCAGGCGCGACTCGAGGCGCGCTTCGGTGGGCCCAAGGAACAGTCCCTAGGAGGGGACCTGCTCTGATTCCATGTGAGAATGAGAACGAGAATGTGTGAACTATGAAAATGAAGTGAGTACAAATATGAAACCCTAATTGGTTGTACCCCCTATGGGATACCCCACTATAGCCTACACAACAGCATAAGCTATAATGTTCTGACATCCGTCGCCCCGCGCCCGGCCCGTACTTAGCCCGCACTCGGCCCCGTACCTAGCCCGTCGCCCGGCCTGTCCCTAGCCCCGCGCCCGGCCCGTACCTAGCCCAGCGCACGGCCCCGACCCTAGCCAGCGCCCGGCCCCGTCTGTCGCCAGCGCCTGGCCCCGTACCTAGCCCGCGCCCGGCCCATATAACGCCCACGCCCGGCCCGGTACTTAGCCCGCGCCCCGGCCCCGTACCTGCCCAGCGCGCGGCCCCGTACCTGCCCAGTGCCCGGCCCCGTACCTGCCCAGCGCCCGGCCCCGTACCTGCCCGGCGCCCGGCCCCGTTCCTGCCCAGTGCCCGGCCCCGTACCTGCCCAGCGCCCGGCCCCGTACCTGCCCAGCGCCCGGCCTCGTACCTGCCCAACGCCCGGCCCCATACCTGCCCAGCACCCGGCCCCGTACCTGCCCAGCGCCCGGCCCCGTACCTGCCCAGCGCCCGGCCCCGTACCTGCCCAACGCCCGGCCCCGTACCTGCCCAGCACCCGGCCCAGTTCCTGCCCAGTGTCCGGCCCTGTACCTGCCAGCGCCCGGCCCCGTACCTGCCCAGCGCCCGGCCCCGAACCTGCCTAGCGCCCGGCCCTGTACCTGCCAGCGCCCGGCCCCGTACCTGCCCAGCGCCCGGCCCCGTACCTGCCCAGCGCCCGGCCCCATACCTGCCCAGCACCCGGCCCCGTACCTGCCCAACGCCCGGCCCCGTACCTGCCCAGAGCCCGGCCCCGAACCTGCCCAGCGCCCGGCCCTGTACCTGCCAGCGCCCGGCCCCGTACCTGCCCAGCGCCCGGCCCCATACCTGCCCAGCGCCCGGCCCCGTACCTGCCCAGCGCCCGGCCCCGTACCTGCCCAACGCCCGGCCCCGTACCTGCCCAGAGCCCGGCCTCGTACCTGCCCAGCGCCCGGCCCCGTACCTGCCCGGCGCCCGGCCCCGTTCCTGCCCAGTGCCCGGCCCCGTACCTGCCCAGCGCCCGGCCCCGTACCTGCCCAGCGCCCGGCCTCGTACCTGCCCAACACCCGGCCCCGTACCTGCCCAGCACCCGGCCCCGTACCTGCCCAGCGCCCGGCCCCGTACCTGCCCAGCGCCCGGCCCCGTACCTGCCCAACGCCCGGCCCCGTACCTGCCCAGCACCCGGCCCCGTTCCTGCCCAGTGCCCGGCCCCGTTCCTGCCCAGTGCCCGGCCCCGTACCTGCCCAGCGCCCAGCCCCGTACCTGCCCAGCGCCCGGCCCCGTACCTGCCCAACGCCCGGCCCCGTACCTGCCCAGCACCCGGCCCCGTCCCTAGCCCAGCACCCGGCCCCGTTCCTAGCCATGGCCCCGTCGCCCCTAGCCATGGCCCCTCGCGACCTGCCGCCCCTAACCGCGGCCCCGGTGCCCTGTTGCGCCATGGTGGGTGAGGGGGTGGCAAGAGGGGGTTCCTCCTGCCCGCGTGCCCTACAGTCACACGCGCAGCTCCGCCCCCGCCCCCCTCCCCCCCCTCCCCCCCCTCCATGGGGATGGCGGGGAGAGGGGGGGGAAGCTTGGAGGTTCAGGGGGAGGCAGGAGGGGATCTGCAGCACCAGGTCCCCCGCCCTTCTCCTACCTCCCCCTGCTGCGGGAGCAGCAGAGGGGGGGAGGGGATCTGCAGCACCGACCCACCCCCCCCCCCCCCCCCCCCCCCCCCCATCCTTCTCCTATCTCCCCCTGCTGCGGGTGCAGCAGTGGGGGGAGGGGATCTGCGGCACCAGCCCCCCCCCCCCCCCCCCCCTTCTCCTACCTCCCCCTGCTGCGGGTGCAGCAGTGGGGGGGAGGGGATCTGCAGCACCAGCCCCCCCCTGCCCCCACCCCCTCCCCCTTCTCCTCCATCCCCTGCTGTGGGTGCAACTGCGGGGTGGCGGGTGTGTGAACCGTCCCCTGCTCCTCCTCCTCCTCCGTCTCCCACTGCTGCAGCTGCCGCTGAGGGGGGTGGGTCTCCCATCACCCCCCACCTCGCCCCCACCACGCGCCACATCGCCAGGTGCGCCCAGCTCCTTGCTCTGCCCCCCCTCATCGCCAGGTGCCCCCAGCTCACCCTTCCCAAGCACCCCCTCCCCCAGCACCCCCTCCCCCAGCACCCCCTTCCCAAGCACCCCCTCCCCCAGCACCCCCTCCCCCAGCAGCGCCTCCCCCAGCAGCACCTCCCCCAGCAGCCTGTCAGAATATATTTTATATATATTTATGTATAACTGCATATAGTTATAGCTGTAGTGTAGTTACTATTATAGTCCCTGTAGGTGGTGCACCCTTTACCATCTCTCGCTCCTATATCTTGCACCTTCTTCTCTTAGTGAAACGTCTTTTCCTCTCTCACTTTTACTCTCGACACTCATGTCTAGCCTACCCTAGTATGGATCCTATCTCCTACAAAGTCACAATCTTAACATGGTATCAAAGCAATTACGAACCTTGGGCCCACCACCTGCTACCCTGCGCGCCGCCCTCGTGCGGCCCCGTCGGCCCCGTCGCCCCTAGCTCGGCCCCTCGGCCCCGTCGCCCCTAGCTCGGCCCCGTTGGCCCCGTCGCCTCGGCCCCTTGGCCCCGTCGCCCCTAGCCGCGGCCCCGTCGCCCCTAGCTCGGCCCCTCGGCCCCGTCGCCTCGGCCCCGCGGCCCCGTCGCCCCTAGCCGCGGCCCCGTCGACCCTAGCCCACGCGCCCCGGCCCGTCGCCCGAAGCCCCTACGCCCGCGACTGACGCCCCTCCGCCCCCCCTTCTCCTCCATCCCCCTGCTGCGGGTGCAGCAGTGGGGGGGGGGGAGGGGGGGGGGGGTATGGGGGTGGTGGGCTCTTGGAGGGTAAGGGGGTGGCCGGAATGGATCTGCAGCACCAGCCCCCCAGCCCCCCCCCCCCCCCCCTTTCTCCTCCATTCCCCTGTTGCGGGTGCAGCAGTGGGGGGAGGGGATCTGCAGCACCAGCCCCCCCCCCCCGCCCCCCCCTTCTCCTCCATCCCCCTGCTGCGGGTACAGCAGTAGGGGGAGGGGATCTGCAGCACCAGCCCCCCCCCCCCCCCTTCTCCTCCATTCCCCTGCTGCGAGTGCAGCAGTGGGGGGGAGGGGATCTGCAGCACCAGCCCCCCCCCCCGCCCAGCGCGCTGCCTGCACGTTGCGCAAGCGGCTTGCATTGCCCGCACGCTGCCCTGCGCCGCCGGCAAGCGCCCTGCCTGTGCTGCTGGCCAGCGCCCTGCCTGCGCTGCTGGCAAGCGCCCTGTCTGCGCTGCTGCGCTGCCGTCTGCTCCTTACCAGCGCCGCTCGTGCACTACCCCTGCTGCGTGCACTGGCTTCATTGCCACTTAGCAACTGCTGCTGCCGCCCTTGCCTTTCTGTAGAGGCTACTGCCGCTACAGCCCCTGCTGTTGCCGCTACAGCCCTTGCTGCTGCCGCTACAGCCCTTGCTGTTGCCGCTACAGCCCTTGCTGCTGCCGCTAGAGCCGTTGCTGCTGCCACTACAGCCCTTGCTGCAACCGCTACAGCCCTTGCTGTTGCCGTTACAGCCCTTGCTGCTGCTGCTACAGCCCTTGCTGCTGCCACTACAGCCCCTGCTGCTGCCGCTACAGCCCTTGCTGCTGCCGCTACAGCCCTTGCTGCTGCTGCTACAGCCCCTACTGCTGCCGCTACAGCCATTGCTGCGGCCGCTACAGCCCTTGCTGTTGCTGCTACAGCCCTTGCTGCTGCCGCTACAGCCCTTGCTGTTGCCGCTACAGCCCCTGCTGCTGCCGCTGCAGCCCTTGCTGCTGCCGCTACAGCCCTTGCTGTTGCCGCTACAGCCCTTGCTGCTGCCGCTACAGCCCCTGCTGCTGCCGCTACAGCCCTTGCTGCTGCCGCTACAGCCCTTGCTGTTGCCGCTACAGCCCTTGCTGCTGCCACTACAGCCCTTGCTGCTGCCGCTACAGCCCCTACTGCTGCCGCTACAGCCCTTGCTGCGGCCGCTACAGCCCTTGCTGTTGCTGCTACAGCCCTTGCTGCTACCGCTACAGCCCTTGCTGTTGCCGCTACAGCCCCTGCTGCTGCCGCTACAGCCCTTGCTGCTGCCGCTACAGCCCTTGCTGTTGCCGCTACAGCCCTTGCTGCTGCCACTTCAGCCCTTGCTGCTGCAGCTACAGCCCTTGCTGTTGCCGCTACAGCCCTTCCTGCAGCCCTGTGCGCCACGCTCGCCCTGCTGTCCTGCGCGCTCCACGCGCCCTGCAGCCATGCGCGCCATGCGCGCCCTGCTGTCTTGTGCGCCCCGTGCACCCTGCTGCCCTCTGCACGCGCATCTGCAGCCCCATGCACAGTCCCTACCGCTCAGGGGATGTGGGTGGTGGGTGACACGACTGCCGCAAATGTCGCCACGCCTCCTCCTCTCTCTCCTCACTGCTGCTGCTGCTGCTGTGCGGGGGGGGGTTGAGGGGGTGCTGTGAGTCCAGCTGCAGCATCAGCCGCCTCCTCCTCATTTGCCCTCTCCTTCTTCCGCTGTGCAGGGTGTACCCCTTCAGAGGGTGTTCTGCACATGGCTATTCCTGCATGCAGTTAGGGGGTGTGTCAGAATATATTTTATATATATTTATGTATAACTGCATATAGTTATAGCTGTAGTGTAGCTATTATAGTCCCTGTAGGTGGTGCACCCTTTGCCATCTCTCGCTCCTATATCTTGTACCTTCTTCTCTTAGTGAAACATCTTTTCCTCTCTCACTTTTACTCTCGACACTCATGTCTAGCCTACCCTAGTATGGCTCCTATCTCCTACAAAGTCACAATCTTAACACAGCCCCTCCCCCCAGCTCTTTGACGAGGTCAGAAACGATGCTACACAGGCTGCACTGCCCTGCCGGCCCGTCCGCCACACAGCCGTGTGACAGCGTGAACACCCCCCCTCCGCTGCCGCTTCCCCCCGGCACACTCACTGTCCCCACCCTCTCATCCCCTACCTGCCCCCCTCCCTGCCCCTCTCTCGCTTCTCCTCCATGCTCCCCTCTCGCCTCTCTTCCCTGCTCCCCTCCCTCTTCCCCTCTCTGCCTGCTGTCCTCCCCCTGTCCCCTCGCCATGGCACTGCTTCTTTCCTTCGCCTGGCCCTGCAGCAGCCGCTCCACCAATGGCAGCCCCACGATCGCTGCTTCCCTCCAAACCCCTCCTCCCCTTTCCGCTCTGCCTTGACGCACACCCACTGCCCCTCCTCCTGCATTCACTGTTGCTTGACCAGCGTTGACTGGTGCTTGACCAGCGTTGACTGCTGCTTGACCAGCGTTGACTGCTGCTTGACCAGCATTTCTTGTCTGTAGCACTGCAGTCGGCCCCCCATGCCCTGCACCTAACCCTGATTGGCCGACGGCTGTCTCCACCTGATTCGCTACCACTCCCCTACTTGGATCTGCATTGACCACCTGTGGGCTCGTGTTGACTGCTGCTTGAACCACGTTGACCAATGCTGGATCCGCATTGACCACTGGTTGACTTGCATTGACTGCATCTTGACTCGCATTGATTGTGCCTTGAAGCATTCTGACCGACATTCTGGCAGCCACACACTCAGGGCACTCGCATTGAATCCCATTCACCACCATTGGAATGCCAGCCAACCCCCTTGACCAGCATTGACCAGCATTGACTGCCCCTTGACCAGCATTGACTGCTTGTTGATTGGCGTTGTTGACTCCTCTCAGGCTCTCTCGCACCAACTCCTCCACGCGATGCCCCAGCTACTGCAGCCCTGCCATGCTGCCCGCCCCTTGTCTGTCGCCCAACCCACCTGTGCCGCCCAACCCACCTGCGCTATTCAACCCACCTGCTCCTCCTGGCCCCTCTGCCCGTCCAACCCCTCCTCTCCCACCAACTCCTCTTCCTCCTCCAACCCCTCCCACACCTTGTACACCCCTCGCTCCTCCTGCTGAGGCTGCTGCTGCCACACCCCCACCTCCCGCTGCTCCCGTTTGCCCCACCGTCCCCAATCCCCTCCAACCGAATCCCGTTTCCCCCATCCGCATTCCCCGTGTTCCTGTTTCACCCATCCGTATTCCCCGCGTTCCTGTTTCCCCCATCCACATTCCCTGTGTTCCTGTTTTCCCCATCCGTATTCCCCGCGTTCCTGTTTCCCCCATCCACGCTCCCCCAGTTCCTGTTACATCCATTCCTACTCCCCCCATACGCGCTTCCCCCACCAGAGTTCCCCCCATCCCTGTAACCACCATGCTCATCCCTGCAGTTCCCAAGCCCGCTGTTCCCACACCCCCCGCCCCAGTTGCCCCAAACCCCATCGCCCCCACGACATTCCCCCCCATTCCCACACCCCCTGCGCCCATCCCCCCCACACCCCCACCCCCACCCAATCCCCCTATCCCCGATCCCCCCCACACCTCCCCAACACCTGCAGTCACACCAGCCACCCCAGCCACCCCAGCCACCCCAGCCACACCAGGCACACCAGCCACCCCAGCCACACCAGGCACACCAGGCACGCCTTGCAGCCCCACCCCAGCCCCGCCCTGCAGCGGGGCGAGGAGCTGGTCTGTGAGGGGCGCATCCCCCCCAGCAGGAGCGGCGGCTTGAATCCCGTCGAGCTGTCTGTCAACGGCCTGGGCGTGGGCGCGGCGGGCGAAGAGGGTCTGCAGGGTGGGGCGCATGGCCTGGAAGGCATGGGCGGTGAGGGGGCGCTGCAGGAAGGCGTCGATGGCCGTCACGCGCTGTGCGTCCGTGAGAGAGGGGAGGGCCTGCACGTCCTGCACTGACTTGAACACACTGTCTGCCACCGCGTCTATAGGTGAAGGGTGGGATGAGGGAGGGAGGGGGGGGGTAATTGTGATGACGGGAAATGGCCCCGCCCCCGTTTGGGAGAAGCCGACTTCACAGTTGGGTGCGCTAGAGGTGAAGCTGGCTGCTGTCAATGGTCGACGCCGACTTGGGTGAGGAAGTCGACAGACTTGGTCGACTTCCGCGGGATCACTGCAAGCCGCCGACGACACGAAATCGGCGGCCGACTTCGACTTGGCTGGACGACGAAGGGGCTTGTCAACCTGCGAGCGCCTAGTTGTGGTCGGGGTCGACTGAGTAACCAGGGCGGCGCAGTCTATGAGGTGGCGCGGACGTCGCCCATGTGGTTTTGGCAAAATCGATCCGCGGGCTGGTACTGCGAGGCCGAAGTGGCACATCTGGCACAACCGTTGGCACGTGGCCAACTTGGCACCTGCGCAATTCTTGTGATGATGCACAACGTGCTTAACTGTCGACCCGCACCTGCAAAGTACATGTGCGCGCACGTGCGCTATTGTCACCTGAGGTTGCAGCGCTGGCAGGCCGCCCTGCTGTAGCGTGGGCAAGCCGCTCTGGTGCAACGCTGGCAGGCTGCCGACTTGCAACGTTCGCAAGCTGCCTCCCAGCTGTGTCGCCTTGCAGTGCTGGCATGCCGTCTCCGTGTTGCGCTGGAAATGGACCTGTCAGTGTGCTAGGTTGCTAGGTTATTGATGTAGTAATTGTTGCCATTGCCATTCCATCATTGTGCACCCAACTTTTGCTAGTGAAACTCTTGCCAAACTGCTACTGAATGCGCAGAGAACATAAGCAAACGCTATGATCACTCGTACCACCCGTGCCTTCCCCGTAGTCTAGCTCCCACGGGTGTAGAGTAACTCTTCGCAAATGGGAGCGTACAGGGTGTTGTGAACACACTGTTCGCCACCGCTTCTGGTGGTGAAGAAGAACGGGGGGATTTGGGACAGGGGTCAAGAGATGTCTCGTAGGGAGGCGTGCACTGCACGTCCTGCACCGACTTAAACACACGGTCCGCCATCACGTCTGCAGGTGAAGAAGGAGGGGGAGGGGGGGGGGGGGGGGGGAGAGGGGGGTGGGGGGTTAGGATAGGGGTCAATCAGGAGATGTCCCGTAGGGAGGGTCTGAGCGCCCTGCACTGACTCGAACACACTTTCTGCCACCGCTGCATCTGACGATGAGGAAGGTAGGATGAAGGGGCAAAAATAACGAGTTGTGGGGAAGAGTATAATGCTGTCAATAACTATAATGTTCATATGGGTCATTATACGCCTTGTGCTTGTCAGCCGTGCTTGTCACCCGTGCTACCAAGTCTCCCGCCCTAAACCATCGATCTAGCAATTCATTTTCCAGCCCTTGCAACTTAGACATTTTCCTCATAACATCCGCACTGGCAGCCATGCTTGCATTGTGCCTTCTCATACTGCTGTGCACATGTGCCTTTTCACCACACCACACCACACCATGCCACCCACACCACACCACACCACACCACACCACATCAACCACACCACACCACACCACAAGACACGACACCACACCACACCACACAACACCACATCATCGCACAGCACCGCAGTGCTTCACATCCCATCCCATCACACCACGGACCTCTGTGCATGAGCACGCCTGCCATCACGTACATCTATACACGGGTGGCATCACCTACCTCGGTGCACGTGGGGCTGCCCTTTCTCCGCCATGCTCCTGAACGTGGTGAGGTCACGCGCCACACTCTCCATCACCCGCCGCTGCCGCTTCCTCTCCCTAACCTGCACCCACACCGGCCTCGACCGCTTCACACCTCTCCCCGCTCTCCCCTCCTCCCCTCGCCCCCCTCCTCGCCTCTCCTCCCCTCTATTCCACCCCTCTAGAACCCCATCCCTCCACCGTGCACTGCCATTTCCTCCTCCTCCATCCCCGGCCCCTCCCTCCTCGCCCTCAACCCCGAGCCTCTCTGTGCCGCCTTGCTCCCTCCTGCTCGCCACCATGCCAGCGATCCGCGCTGCCAGCCTCGCAGGGTACTCGTCCCTCTCATCCGCGCTTGCACCGGCCATGTCAGCAGCACGGGCCATGTCAACAAGGGCCACGTCAGCAAGACGAGCACCGTCAGCAAAAGTGACATTGTTACGTGCCACCTCAGCACGAGGAACGCCATTGGCCCGCGGTGCGTCAGCTGCACGGTCGACCCCACCATTCTCCAGTGCATCCCCGCCCCCCGCATTCCCAACACCTCTCCCTTCCACACCCTCTCGTCTCTCTCTGTTCCTCGAGCCCCCTCCCTGCCCTCTCTGTCGCTCCGCTCCCCACCTCCTCGTTCCCCACCACTCATCACCATCCAACTCTCCACCCCTCCACCGCTCTCCATTACCCCCCCTGCCTCCACCCCTCCTCTGTCTCTCCGACTTTGCACATTCCTTCCGACTTCATGCCTATACCTCCCTGCCACACGCCACATTCGCTCTCCATTGCCCCATCCCTCCTCCCCTCCCCTCTCCACCTCCTCAACCTCCTCCTCTGCCTCCCAATTCTCTCCCCCTCCTGCCCGCACCTCCACCACTTCATCCTCCTCTTCCCCATCATCCTCCTCTCCCTCCCCCTCTCCCCAATCCTCCTCATCCTCCTCGTCCTCCTCCTCCCACTCCTCCTCGCCCCACAGCGGGGCCGCAGAAGGGCAAGTGTGGGCGTTGAGCAGAGTGAGGGGCAGCCAGGGCGCCGTGTGCTTGCACCACCGCCTGTAGTGCCGCCACCGCCCGTGCTGCTTCAGCCGCGGGATGATGCCCAGCTGCAGCGACAGGTGGGAATGGGGGGAGGGAGCAAGAGGGAAGGGGGTAAGGAAGATACAAACAACGGACAGACGGGATGGAGACGGAGTGTGGTCTTTGGTGTGCGACAGCGGAGGAGGCGGAGGAGGCAGGGGAGGGTGGTAAGCCCTAAAGCACGGCCAACAAACTACAGCGCATCTTGAGGTCTCTCACCTCGCCCACTCTCACCTTGCCCTCTCTCACCTCGCCCTCTCTCACCTCGCCCTCTCTCACCTTGCCCACTCTCACCTCGCCCACTCTCACCTCGCCCTCTCTCACCTCGCCCTCTGTCACCTCGCCCACTCTCACCTCGCCCTCTCTCACCTCGCCCTCTCTCACCTCGCCCTCTCTCACCTCGCCCTCTCTCACCTCGCCCACTCTCACCTCGCCCTCTCTCACCTCGCCCTCTCTCACCTCGCCCTCTCTCATCTCGCCCTCTCTCACCTCGCCCTCTCTCACCTCGCCCTCTCTCACCTCGCCCTCTCTCACCTCGCCCACTCTCACATCGCCCTCTCTCACCTCGCCCTCTCTCACCTCGCCCTCTCTCACCTCGCCCTCTCTCACCTCGCCCTCTCTCGCGTGGGGGGCTCTCACCTTGGGGTCGGGGCTAAAGCGCTGAGTGGTGGGGTCCCAGGCAACTTCAGGCGGCAACAGTGACTGGAGGAGCTGAATGTCCTTCACCCACCCACGCACCACTTTGCACCGCAATCACAGTTGCTCCTCCGAATACCGCGGGCATCCTCGCCACAACCACTCGCAGTGCACCGCCCCCCAGTCCTCGATCATGCTGAGGAGCGGGGTGCCCTCTGTCAGAATGTTATATTTGTCTAGCCTGCAGTGGGGTACTCAATAGTGAGTACAGCCCAATCTAGGGTTTGCTATATGTACTCAACTGCTTGCTAGTGCAATCCCCTTCCTCTCTTTCTCATTTCCAACTTCCTTTGGTTTCTAACACCCTCAGCACGAAGCACATCCCGCATGATCCCCAGCAGGGCTGTCGTCTGCTCGTTGTTCCAGATCGCCCGCCCCTTGCCGCTTATCAATGCCTGCTCCCACCACTCACGCAAATCCCTGCCCGTACCTGTGCCCGTGCCTGTGCCCGTGCCTGTGCCCGTGCCTGTTCCCATGCCTGTGCCCGTGCCCGTGCCCGTGCCTGTGCCCGTGCATGTGCCCATGCCCGTGCCTGTGCCCGTGCCCGTGCCTGTGCCTGCGAGCGTGGCATTGCCCCTCCCTGACAAGTCATTGCCCAGCACAGCAGGCTTGTAAGTGCTCCCGCACAGGGGGGGGGGCGGGGAGACCAAGTTGGGGAGGATGGAGGGTGGGCGAGGGGAAGGCATAAGGGGGGAGAGCGGGCACGGGAGGGGCAGGCAGGGCGACAAGGGGGTTGGCAGCCAGAACGGACTCCAACCGCACGCCACCACGCCGCTCCTTCGCTCGCCCCCCTCCATCCCGTGCTTCCCCACCTGCCCTCCTTGCTGCGGTTGCTTCCCTTCGCTGTGCTGTTGCTGCCGCGGGGCCGCCTGCGCGGCGGGCAGCCTCCGCCCTTTGCGCAGCTTCCGCCGGCAGGTCACGCGGTCTGCTGGGCGGCTGGCTGGGAGGTTGCTGCTCAGCGAGCGTCTGTAGGCGCTGTAAGAGAAGCGAGCGAGTCATGCTGTAACGGGGAAAACGGTAAGGTGGGGAAGAGGTTTTGATTGAGCCAGTACAATGTTTACATACCTCCGAAGGCTGTGAATCTGCATTGAGATATTTCATATGCAGGCTTCGAGCAAAAGGACGACACATGGCAGGCAGTCAAAACATTGGGACATCTGGATACTCGTTATAAGCTCCATATGCTGAGCAACAATTTCGATCCACGTCAGCGTGCCAAAATGACATAACCTCGCTTCTGAGCAAGGTGAACCTCCACCTGCAAGCTTAGTTCTACACATTTCAAGCGCACCTTACTTCTACTTCAAACGGCTGGAAAATAATTCGACAGTTCGAAAGTAACACGAACTGCGGGCCACGGCCGAAGTGCGCTTGCGGGAGTCGCCCCTTATCAACAATGCAAGCAGCCAGGAATTAAAACAAAAACTTCGGAAGTACCGCAGAAGGTGCCTGAAACGTTGCTGCGGCTTTTGCACAGGAGGTCTGGTAAGCTAGCAGCTTAGGGCATGTGTGATTTTTTATTTTGCCATAAGTTTATGTTTTTGACTTGATTTAAGCATTTGAACACAAGCTGAACATGACTCGACTTTGAGCATTGGCAATGTTCGAACCGCAGGTGACAATGCTTGTAGATTCACAATCACACACGAAAGTGCGAATTTTCAGGTTCGAGATTACAGGGGGGGAACCGAGCCGCCTATAGGGTGCGTAGGTTACCCGGTATTCTTCTTTTGACAGCGCGACACGTCAACAAATCGCTGCTAAAAAAAAGTGAACGCTAGACCTCCACCTCCAAATCGCCTGCGCCGGATGAGACGCACCCACGAAACGTCATCGTGCCACGACGCATGCCACGTGGTGGGCTTTGCGCGGGGGACTCTGCTATGGGTCTCGGATGTGCCTCCATTGGTGCACGAAAGATTCGCGAGCTTCGCTAGTTCCTCGTACGTGCCTGAAACCACACACGTTCGGTTCAGTGTGCTACACAAAGTTTGTGCATATGTTCGAATCTTGTTCACTTTTGTAGGTTCGCACCTGGTACTTTTGAAATCGGAGTCAACATTGGCGAAATCTTTTGCGAACATTGGCGAAACTGGTTACCACCTAAAGTTCGACCTAATATATGAACCCAAAAAAAATCCACACACGCCCTTAGGGTTTCGGCCTTGGTAGCTTTGCTTGGTTGTTCTCGAATCTCTCGACAGGCTGCTAGCGTGCTTCCGCGAACTGTATCAAATCGCTTGTCAACGGCTTGGAAGACGTGAGGGTCAAACAAATGGCGGGAAACCGTTGTGCGACCACATTTCGTGGTTCGAGGAGTAGCAAAAACATTAGCGAAGTAATCGTCACACACACCTGAGCCAAACCTTGGGATTCGCAACGACCCTCAAATCTTTTTGCTTGACACATCTCGAATTGACGACCCATTTCCGCTGGGATGTAAATTTGGAATGTCTCAACGAAACAAGGTCGACGGTCGGTATACCGCTATGAGAGTGGTACCGACGAATATATCTCAGCGGACAAGCGAGTCCGCCCAGGGGAGCTCGCTGCCCGCGGGAAAAAAAAAAAAAAAAAAAAAAACCCATTCGGGCATGCATCCGGTGAGGGAGGCATCAACCCTAAACACAGGGAGGCATGGATTTAGGGTTGATGCCTCCCTCGGATGGCATGCCATCCGATAGGGTTTTAGTTTTTTTCTGCCCGGGGCAGCATGTCGTCAAGTCGTCAACAGGTCGTCAGGCTTGACGACCCGTTTCCGCTGGGATATTCCCATTGGAACTTTCGGGAGGGAATTTTGCTTGTTTTCACTAGTTTGGTGTCAGAGGCACACTGTCACGGGACAGAATGCGATTGAATGGGGTGGATTCGTCACCGCTTTCAACCGTATATATGCACTTGAAATTGTACATCACCTGTCTATAACCCGGTCGGTTACCTAATATGAAACGAGCTTGTTCGTGCTGCGTTTGAGAAGGCCCACGCCTTGTCACGCGCATGAAAAAAGCGTAGCGCACTGAACGACACAATTCACGGCAGACGGTACGTCATGGATTCTAACACGTCTGAGGTGAAAATGACCTTAGCATCCTGTTGTACAAACCGCAAGGAGTGTTTCTGGGAACCTCCAAGAATCGCAACGAGCGAGCTGTAGGTCGGCGGACGGACTGCAGCATCACTGGGAAGATCGGATTCTCCATTAGCCGCTTAGAGGAAGGACTGACAATGAATCAGCGAGCAGGAGTAACAGTAGGCGTCAGCCTATAGGTCAGAGGATACAGCAGAGCACACAGCATGCGGTTCAAGGCGGTTCTCACGACGGACGGAGTGTCGCTCCTCGAGCAACGTAAGTCCGCCTCTAACGTCACCTTCCTCCTCCCTTCCCTGCCTACTCGCTTGATAATTCCTTTCTCATTCCGATCTATCGTGTGCATTTTGCTCTATGCTTTCGACCCTCGATGGCGCTAGGCCATGTGGAGAAAGACGCTCTGCAGGGCGATCGTCCTGCGTCCGGATGGTCGCGTCTGAACGCTGGACGCAGGACGCTCGCCAGGACGCAGGACGCTTGGCAGGTTTATTTTCGCTTAGCGTCGATGTCTTGGGTCACATCATGCCATCCCATCGTGCCATGCCATCATGCCATCCGTGCCACAATCCCATCCATGCAATGCAACCATCCCATCCATGCCATCATGCCTCAGCGTGACCAGTGACCACCCCATGGCTTTCTGAGCCTATTCGCCTGCATGCGCACAATGGTTGGAGTACATTAATCTATGCGCTACACTAGAATCACTTTAGATTAATCTGTGGCTGTTTCCCGTCTCAATGCGCACCATTTCTCCTCTCATCCATGCCTTTCACCTCTAGTCATCACCCTCCCATGTCATCATTCCCCCACCAACACCCCACTCCTGACCTACAGGGCACCTGCCGGCCTTGGAGCAGGCAGGCAAGGCACGCCCTTGTAGGCTTGTAGTACCCCACCTTGTACCCCACCTTGAACCCCACCTTGTACCAGCCACACCCCTGCAGCACCGACATGCATGGATGCGGCTGCTCGTAACAGTGCAGCCACATGCCACCACTCACCCGCCTTGCGACCCCCCGCCCCGACCCTCCCCTGCACAGCTCCTGTCAGTGTCGTCGAGCGCATTGGCGCGTGGGCCACATGCACCTCACTCCCTGGCAGCATGAGGGAGCCAATGCGTGTATGTTGTATGATCCCACTGCTTCAGTTCATGGTCCACCCCATGCCACCATCCACCCGCCATGCCACCCCCCCAACCCCACGACCCTCCTGCAGGGTTCCTGCCGGCGTTTGAGCGTATAGGGTGGGTCTGCCACGTGCACCTCACGTGGGTCTGCCACGTGCACCTCACGCCCTGGAATCATCATTGCCGCCACACCACGCCATGCATGCCCCCGCATGGCGCCAACCACCACCTGTGTCACTCACCCCCCCCTTCCTCCCTCCACGCCCTCCTGCAGTTGCAGGCTTCCTGCCGGCCTTTGAGCGCATAGGGTGGGTGTGCCACATGTACCTCACCCCGATCGACGTCTTCCTCCTTCACAACGTTCTCTCCACTGATGGCGTGCAAGCCATCCATCGCACAGTTCCCCACTGTAAGATAGGCATGCGTACAAAACCGAAATGTAATACATCGCGCGCATAAATTACAGCCCATGGAACGCATGCCGTCGCCCAGTTTCCCACTTTAAATGTCTCCCCACTCACGTTGCTGTTTCTTCTTCTCTTCCTCGCGTTCCTTTCTTTCCATCAAGTTCATTTTTATTTTCCTCACATGCCCATCTTCCTCTCTTCTCCTCCTCACACCCTCCCCTCTTCTCCTCCCGTCCTCCGTCTGCCCCCACTTCCTCTCAGGGCGAGCTGTTCACGGAGAACCTCATCCCTCCTCCTCCTCCTCCTCCTCCTCCTCCTCCTCCTCCTCTTCCTCCTCCTCCTCCCGTCCCCCTAACTCACTCCCCCCTCCCATCCCCCATACCTTCCTCTCCCACTAGGGCGAGCTCTTCTCAGAGCATCTCATCAGCAGCGTCAGTGCGGATCACATCGCCTTCTCGCTCCACCACTCTCTGCTCTCCCAGGCACTCTTGCTTTCCTCTTTACCCCCCTCCCATCCCCCACCACACCCTCCCTCCCCCCCCCCCTTCTTCAGGGTGAGCTATTCTCGGAGCATCTCATCAGCAGCGCCAGCGCCGATCTTAGTTGGAATTGACGGAGCTAGCGTTTTTTTCGGAACGTTTTTTACGGTCCGTTTTTTACGCTATACGGAACCCTCCGAGAGTTTGACGGTGGTTTTGACGCTCTGGCGGGCAGGCAAAACAAAAATTTCGGGCAGCCCAAAAAAAAACAGGGGGGGGGGGGGGGGTCTCGGGGGGGGGGGGGGGGGGGGGGGGGGGGGGGGGGGGGAGGAAGGTAAGAGGGTTGTTGAGCCTTCGAGCAGCCAACAATGTGATTTTTCCCCAAAAAAAAACCTCCATAAATAGTACCATGCATACATAGTTCTCAACATTACTATTACCACCATCCGCCCCCATCGACTCCCACTTAAATACCATCCCACGATCACCCATCAAGTACTAAAGCGTGCCACAATCACTATCACGCCCTTTCCCTCTACGGCTTCTTCGGGTACTCCTCGTACTCGTCCTTGAGCACCTTCGGATCCGCCTCATCCGCCTCCTCCTCCTCCTCCTCGTCCTCCACGACATACCCCTCGAGAATAGGAGCCTCAGGGATGTTCCCCTTCACAACCCCCACCTGTGGGCCCTTGTGGAATTTGTGCACGACGTTCCAGTTGTGCGCAACGTAAACAAGGTCGCGGCACTTCACTGAGCCAAGCTTGTTGCGCCTTGCAGTGTGTACCAAGTCCCACATAGACCAGTTCCGCTCCCACGATGCGGCGGATACAGGCTAGGACAGAACACGACGTGCAAGGCGCGCCAGCTCGGGCCACTCAATGCAATGCCACATCCACCACTGCTCCATCGTCTGCTTCCCTTGCTTCACCTTCTCCCGGGCCTCCATAGCCTTTGGCATCCCACAACTCCCCCTTGACTCCAAGTACGCCGTCACAGCTGCCTCCAAATCCAACTCCCTCCCCACCACTCCACTCATGGCGGGATACTTCTTGTAGAAGTCTTGGGCATGCGCAATGAACTCCTTAAAGACTTTGGTGCACTCCACATCGACCCCAAATATTTCCTCGTCCTGGTTAAGCGGGTTCAAGATCCGGCCAGCCACGTGCATGGCACACGCGAGGCTGTTGTCCCAGCGGTCCTTCAGAATGCGTGAGATCCGCAACTTTTCCGCCCTGCTCAGCTGCTGCTCATCCGCATCCAACACCTTCTCCATATCTTCCGTCAGCTACAGCATGAGGTCGTACATGCGGCCCATCATCCCAGGCCTAGTCGAATCCGTCATGCGCATCACCTGATAGGGCCGTTGCAGCAGCTTCACAAAGAAGGCGGCGGACTTCCACGAAGCCGGATCAATCACCTCCTTTGCAAACTTCTCGGCCCCCTCCTCCCTGTCCCCCACCGCCCACCCCTTCCACAGGTCGCCCGTCACGAGCACAATCAGCTTCTGCTCCAACTCGCACAACCTCGACATCGCAATGTACAGAGTGCCAAAGCGAGTCCCTGCTGGACGCAACGCCTGCAGCACCTTACCCCCAGGCAGCGTCGGGTCCCTCATCATCGCGCGGGTCCAATGATGCTTGCGTAAGAAGTTTATCATGCCGTTCCCCCTGTCCACAAGCTTCTTCGCCCAGTCCATCTTCCCCACATCCTCCAACAGCAGGTCAATCACGTGGGTGGGGCATGGCATCAGCTCAATGTGCGGAAACTCCACACCCAACTTCCGACACGCCGAACGGTAGTTGCTCCCCCCATCCGTGCACAGCGCCACAACATTATGGGGCCCGACCTCCTCCACGATGGGCCGTAACATGTCCGCAATATAGGTGCCCGTCTTCTGATCCTTCCCATAGTCGATGCTCTCCGTAAACATCCCCCCATTGTCATTGATCAGGAGCACGTTCGCCTGTGCGCGCCCGCTGCGATCGGTCATCATGTCGCTCGCAATGGTGACACCCTGCTTCCCCCAAGTCTTCTTGATGGGCCCCAACCCCTCCTCGATCCGAATGCGGCACTGCTGGAGGCCGGCACCGTCAACGTACTTGCGGCCGGGGGGGACATAGCCAGGGCCTGCCTCAGCCACCGCCCTCAACATGTTGCGGAAGAGCGGGTGATCCGCATGGTGCTCGGGAATACGAAGGCCGGCAAAGAAGAGGCAGAGCGACTCATCGGCCTTAGCTTTTGCCACCGCCGCGTCGCCACCATAATAGTCTGAAATTTTCCTCTTCCCACTAGGACCGAACCCACCACTAATCGCCTCCATCGCCGCGGCGGTTGCCTTCCCCTTGTCCTCTTTCGCCTTCCCTTTAGTCTCGTACAATGTCTTAATAGACTCTACCACATCCTTGGGAGCTTTGTGACAAAGGAGGACATCGCGATTCTTAGGTTGACCTTCCCAAACCGCGAGATGCTGAGAGCACCGCGTCGTAGACTTCATGAAATCGTGGGAACAAAATTTGCACATCGCCCTCTTCCCCTTGCCTTTCTTAGGATCCATAAAAAAATAAAAAGTGCTTGTATGTAGAATGCTCCGGCATTTCTTCGTACTTTATTCCTTCGCTAGAACCAGCTATCGATGCTCCATGGTTGTCTTCATTCGATGTACTAGGGTTGGAGGAAGCCATGGCGGTAGGATCGGTTTCTAACTTTCTAATAAAAATGCTGACCCTAATGTCGCGCGCTAAGCTAGGAGTCGAGTTTGCTGCTGGTCGTAAACCTAGAATGAAGTCGCGGGAGTTGTGCTTGTGCTAAATGTATGTCTGTAGGTTGTGTTTTGTAGTTGTTGAGCGGTTGAAAGGGGTGGGGGGGTTGTTTTTTGTGTTGTGGGTTTTCAGTGTGGTGCAATGTCGAGTAAATTTTTAAGTCGCGTTTTCGACGCGAACTTCAATGTTGAAAATTTTTTGCGCTGATTTTTTTTTCCGATTTTGGGCTGCCCGAAAACTTTTGGGGGGACCGTCAAGCGTCAAAGTCCCCGTCCAGCGTCCAGCGTCAATTTGGTCCGAATTGACGCTTGACGCTGGCCTTCCCCAGCGTCAATTCCATCTAAGGCGCCGATCACATCGCCTTCTCTCTCGATCTCTCCCTGATCGCCCGCGCCCTGCGCTCCTCCCTCGCCACCGCCGCCACGCGCCACCAGCTCAAGCTCGTCAAGAAGAGCACCAACCCCACTGCTCCTGCGCTGCCCTTTCTATCTCTCGAGGCCAAGGTTGGTGCCAAGGGGTTCGAGTGGGCGGCTATGTGGGTGGCAAGGGATTCAAGTGGGCGGCTAAGTGGGTGGCAAGGGTTTCAAGTGGGTGGAAAGGTGGGTGGCAAGGTGCGTGCCAAGGCGTCTGCCTGTCTAGTGCCACATTCCAACCGCTGCCACACACCACCCGCCACCTTCTCAAGATTCTCAGTATGGCAGCTTGCCCCTCTGCCCCTGCGCTGCTCCCCCCTCACATCCCCTGCACTCAATCTCCCCCTTGTCCACCCCACCACCTGTCACGGCTCATGCATCCTCCTCCCTCCCCCAGGGCGAGCGCTCAAGCATCGTGCCCCCTTCCCCCCCCATCTCGACCCCGTGTGAGCACCAGTTAGCACACCTTAAGTCTGTTTCCTCGTGCCCCCCTCCCCCCCAACCTCTTCTCTCCCAGGGCGAGCGGTCGAGCATCGTGCAGGACATCCCCATCTCGACGCCGCTGCCTCGCTCGCAGTTGGGATCGACCTCGTGTACTCGCTGCCAGAGGTGACGCACTCGCTGCCGGAGGTGAGGCACTCGCTGCCAGAGGTGAGGCTGGGTGCAGGCTTGAGTTGACTTGCGTTGACATCTTCTGACTGCATGCTGGCATCGACCTCGTGCACTCGATGCCTGAGAGGTGAGGCGCATGTTGACTCTAGTTGACCCCTGTTGACCCCATGGGGCATCGACCTCGTCTCCCTCTCTTTTCTCCTCTCCCTTCCCTTGCCTTTCTCCTCTCCCTTCCCTCGCCTTTCTCCTCTTCCCCCCTCCTGGTCAGACCCTCGTGCAGCTGCTGACCCCTGTGGCAGCTGGTGGAGCGACTGCAGAGTGTGGGCGATGTGGCGAGTAAAACCGTCCCCTCTCCTTGCTCGCCCAACCCTTCCTCCAGTCCTTGGTGCAATTGCCAGATCTGCTCTCCATGCGTCACCTGGTAGAGCCACTACAGAGTGTGGGCAACGTGAAGGTTACAACCCCCCTCCCCATGCTTCCCCCCCTTTCAGACCCTGGTGCAGCTGCCGGACCCGCCGTCCTTGCGGCACCTGGTGGAGCGACTGCAGAGTGTGGGCGACGTGGCAAGTGAAGCCGTCCCATTTACTTGCTCCATCCACCCCAACCGCCCCCCTTTCCCAGACCCTGGTGCAGCTGCCGGATCTGCCGTCCTTGCGGCACCTGGTGGAGCGGCTACAGAGTGTGGGCGACGTGGCTGGCGTGCCAATTGTCCCCTCCCCTTGCTCTCCCGGCTCCTCTCTTCTTCCAGACCCTGGTGCAATTACCGGACCTGCCCTCGCTACGCCACCTGGTGGAGTGCCTGCAGAGTGTGGGCGACGTGGATGACGTGATGAGTAAAAGCCCCCTCTGACCCTTCCCCTTGTTTCCCGCTGCTTCAGACCTTGATGAGGAGCGGTGCGCTTGCCATGCGCACCCACACACCCTCCATCACCGTAGCCGCCCAGTTCAAGAACCTCAAAGTGTTCGGAGCCAATTCAGGTAAAGCCCTCAGTGTGTTTGTTCTGTTTGGGGCCAAATCAGGTGGCTGTGAAGAGAGAAATCAATCAGTACTCTTCATCATACTCCTTCCACACGCCCTCATCACTGTCGTCGCCCAGTTCAAGAACCTCAAGAGTTTGGGCCACCATCTCTGGTAATTACTCAGCCATCTCAGTACATTCCAAGCTGCCATGCGCACCCACATGCCCTGCACCACTGTCGCCGCGCAGTTCAAGAACCTCAAAGTGTTCGGTGCCAATTCAGGTGCAGCGGTGTTGGAGGTTCCTATGCAGCTGAAACGAGTATTTCCACCTCTGCCTGCCAGGCTCTGCCCACACCCTTCCTTTCTTTCCTTTCTTTGGTTCCTTTCTTTCCTTTCTTTCCTTTCTTTCCTCCTTCCCTCTCTTTCACTGATCCCCTTCGCTCTCTTTCCCCCTGCTTCACCCATCTTCATCCCACTCCACCTTTCTCCACCCTCTTCACCCCTTGTCACGCGTCATACTGCGGAGCAGAGAGCCAGCAGAGTGGGGCGGGAGTGGGGGAGGGTAGCAGGCAAGGGGGAGGAGCAGACGACGATGCAGACATATCGGGGCTGTCCACACGGCTCAGGCAGATGCAAGCTACAGGCGATGCTACAGTCGTGGTGAGTCGTGGGCAGCACATTAAGGCAGAGGGGTGCTGTAGGAAGAGGAACGGGGCTTGTTGCAGTGCCTGTGAGCCGTGAGCATGTTGAGCAGGCATTGTCTTATATAGCTGGAGCAATACTGCAAACTGGACTTTATCTGGCACCTGCACTACAAGTCTCAGTTTCTAAAGCATGGCCATGCCTCCCCTAGCACGTCTCGTGCACCAACCTGTGTGTCATGTCTTCCCACGTTGTTACCTATGACATGCCTTCTCCAACTTGGTTTTTTTTCTCGGAATTTCCATCTTCTCGTTCCTCACGTTTGTTCTCTGCAGTCTTCTGCCATCTCTCCACCTCGCCCTCAGTGAGTGTGTAGCAACTTGCAGTCTGCAATGCCACCTAACCCATCTGCCATCCCTCCCCTATCCCTTGCTCATCCATCTCACCTCCCATCCCTGTCACGCCTCTACCCTCCCGAGTAGTCAGTGAGTGTGAAGCACCTCGCCCGCAGTCTGCAGTGCTACCTCACCCGCCCCGATGCCTCCTACTGCGGTCAGTGCATGCCGTCAAGTGTTTCCCAATTTCTTTATCCATCTTGTTATGCCCCTTTTGTTTTTATCTCTGAATGGTCATTTCTCTTTTCAAGCACCTTCATGCTTTCAATTCCACCTGCATGCTTTCAATTCCACCTGCATGCCCTCTCCAACGTGCTCTCTTACTCCCCTGCAGCCCACATTCTCGGCTGCCGCAAGCCCGGGCTTCATGGACCTGTTTTGCTGTTATGCGTCCTGCCATTTCGACTGATCCTTTCCCCACTGCTCCATTTTGCTGCCATCATGCCATCATTTCCCTGCCAAACCAGCAACCATCACCCATGCCTTCCCGTCAACGCGTGTGAGCAGGGGTGCCCCCCAACGAGGCGTGTCTGCTCGTGATCTTCCAATATGCCATCAACCGCCTGTCCTGTACCTTCCGTAACCCCCCTCCCCCCCCTACCCCCCACCTCCCCCTTCCATGTGTTACAAGCAGGGGTGGCACCCAACGAGGCGTGTCTCCTCATGATCTTCCAATACGCCGCCTCCCCAATCAGCCTGCAGTACCGCTTGCCCCTCCTCGACCCGGGGTAGACCCCTTTGCACCTGCCTGCTGCCCCTCCCTGCATGATGCAGGGTGGTGGTGGTAGGTGCCGCATTTCACGCTCACTCGCATTCATTCGAGGCCTCAACCTGCTTCGCCCAACAGCCTGCAGTACCGCCTACCCCTCCTCGACCCGGCGTAGATTACACACACATGCTGCTCCCTCCGCATTGGAACCTGCCTCTCGCTACAGTCCTCAAGACGTCTCGAAGAATTCCAGGCCTCAACATGCCTGGCTCATCAGCCTGCAGTACTGCCTGCCCCTCCTTGCCCGGGGGTAGAACGAGGTCTCTCTTCAAGTTGCACGGTGAGATTTGTTGTACATAGATGCAGGCCAACGATTCGTAGAGCTGTAGCTCTGCGCCACGTACACAACGTGAGTCACTATGTATGGAGTAAGCCCAAGAAGTTATGTGCTTGGATAAGATTAAACAACATTCGGTTACAGTATTTTCAGTAGTTCGATAATGTTGAGGTAGAATATAAGGTCCTAAGAGTACTAGAGATCCTAAGGCATATTCTAAGCCCAGCAGATAGTACTAGAGCAGTAATATCATACAGTATGTTGAAGTGTTACTGTACACACACAAACACACACATCATCTGTAACAGAAAATATCAAAGTAACGGCTCCTGGACTTCAATTTCAAGCACTTCCCCAGCTGCCCTTCACTTCAGTCACATTCTGCCTGTCCAGAAGAGACTGTGGCAGCACCTCTAGCTGCCTGCACCCGTCCAGATCCACCTCCCTCAGACAGGACAAACTGCCCAAGTCGTTGGGTAGTGCACGTAAGCCAGTGCACCATCTTAGAGAAAGTTTGACAAGGGACGGGAGGAGCGGGAGAGTGGACGGGACGTGGGGCAGGCCAGACAGGTGATTGAGCTTCAAAGAGGAGAGGTGGGAGAGGGAGGAAATGGAATCTGGAAGGCTGGTAATCTGGGGACAGTCCAAAAAGCTCAGACTTCTGAGGGACGACATGGAAGTAAGGAAAGAAGGAAGGCCTAAGCTCCTGCATGACTCTAGGTGCACCTTGAGAAGCTTCAGCTGCCCAAGGTTTTTGGGCAGGTGCATAAGCAATGGAAGGGAGATGATGGACAGCTTTTCAAGGTTGAAGAGTTCGGGCAGGCAGGCAGGAAGGAGTGACATGGCAGGGCAT